GGTTACCTAGGCTCTATTCTTTGAAATAATATAAACCCAGCAACAACATTTTTTTTTTTAAGTGTAAGTCTCTGGGTGTCAAACCCCTCTCAGAGATGCATTGTAAACTTCCATTGTATGGTGAACAGAATTTTTTTTGTACAGCTGGACTTTGCCCAAGGTGTTTAGAAGTACTGATGAATTTTAGGTTTAAGCAAAAAAAGCCTTCTCAGTAGGAAGCTTGATGCTTTATTAAATGCTGAGGAAGCTGTCCATTGTGCAGAACATTTTTATGTGTGCATCTTGCAAGAGAATTCTCATTTTACAAAGTGCAAACCCAATCAGTCTGATCCTGTATTTGGGAAGTGAATTCCCTTTGTGGAGTGTGTATTTGGTAAGTGGACTAAATCTTCTCCTATATGTTTGTGGAACTTTTCAACCCTCAAGGGCTGATTGCAAGAGAGGTTTTAGCTTGATGAATGCTATTAAAACTAAGATTAGAAATTGGCTAGATACAGATCACCTGAAGAATGAGAATTAAACGGCATATGTCTAATGGGAATAATATTAAAATTGACAGTGTTTACAATTTCTGGAAAACAGAAAAGAAAAGAGAAGTTAAAACGTTTCCTGTAATGAAATTTGACTTGATTCTGTTTTCACTTATAATAAATCATTCTTAAAATATAGTTAAAAAGAATTCCTTCTGAGATTTTTACGAAGTTATGGTAGTACTCTTCTAAAAAAACTAATTTATGTGATAGTCAAATGTAGGCTCACTCATAACCTTAATGTTAGTAGCTCCTTTGGCTCGCAAAGTTGAATTTTTGTTCACAACACTCCACAGCCTAGAGGGAACATTGGTGACTACTCCATTTTTTATCCATCATGGGAACATGGAGTTGGTATTAAGGGAGGTAGGCCTTTGGTTGCTTAGGTCTTTTCTGTCTGATTGGACACAGTGGAGGAGCAGAATCAACTGGGTGGGATTTGTTTTGTGCAATGCCACAGGGTCCCATTCCCTCTCTCTGTCTGTCCTATTGAATGAGATCATCCAGAGCTTTGGGGTTTTAAGTAGGCGGATGATACCGAGCTGTATATTTCATTATCCAGGCTTTTGGTGGGCTTGTTGTTGGATTAATTACTGTAATGGCCTTTATGTTGGGCTGCCTTTGAAGACAACCTGGAAACTGCAGCTGGTCATAATGTGGCAGCATGGTTATTGTCAGGGGTTAGTTGATGGGAGCATAGCATTTTCAAGCAGCTACTTTGCCTGCTGGTTTGTTTCTGTGTCCAATTCAATGTACTGTTATGAGCATTAAAGCCTTTCATGGCCTAGGAGCCTCATATGTAAAAGATGGTCTCCTCCCATATGTCCCTGTGCACTAAATACAGTCCTCAGGCTGCTAGCTACTCATTGTTCCCCCACTTAGGGTAGACTGCCTGGCATTGACCAGAGCCTTTTTCACTGTGGCTTCCACTTTGTGAAATAGGCTCCCTGAAGAGGTGAGGGATGTCCCCTCATTGGAGACCTTCAGAACATGCTGCAAGACTCACTAGGGCATTTGATGGGGTTTAAACATCAGGCATCTTCTAGGGAGAGGCTGGGAGTTATGTGGGGTTTTTATTTGATTTGATTTTAATATGTAGTGCTTTAATTATTACCCCTGAGCAATGCTCCCTCTAAGCTGTGGTGTCTTGCAAGCAAAAATTCTGCTTTGTGAGCTACTGGCATTAAAGTTGTGAGCGAGTGATTTTGCTACTACATAAATTAGTTTGCTCTGGAGCCATCCTTCCTGAGCTAAGACAAAACTCTGTGAGCCGGAGGCTAAAAAACTGTAGAAGAAGTAGATTAGATTTATTGTATATGGCCATTGGCCGTTACAATACAAAATTACATTCAAAGAATACTTATAATTTAAAACATTGCATTCAGAATAGAACTCTATGCAACTAAAATGTACAACTAAAATGTCAGGATTACAGGAGTTTGGAATTTTAAAAGCATGGTTTCAGTACTTTGCCCCCGTTCACACTGAGCATTTGCTGCACTGAAGGCACAATAGTCCTGCAGATTTTCTGGGCGCGATCACACCGGAACATCTGGGAGGCGTAGCGCACACATGGCGTCCCGCCGAAGATGCGCATTAAAAAAGTACCTTGGACTACCTACTGGCAAATGGTTTGCCACGGGCTGCATACGGACTCCCTGGGTGTGATCGCACCGGTGCGTGGCTTTCTCTCCCATCGTCCTCTTTGCTGCAGGGAAGGCTGCTGTCGCGTCTGATCGCATAAGGGTGCATCAGAATGCAACAGTGCAAATAGCTGCGCTCCCCCCC